ATAATAATAATAATAATAATAATAATAATAATAATAATAATAATAATAATAATGCTTCTTAAGACTACAATATTAATATTTGTATGCGGTAAAACCTCGTGATACAGGGTTTGAGCCAGGCCGCGCCATTGCGCCAATCCCGCACTGCAATTGGAATTGTCCCTTTAAAAAACGGCCAAGGGGACAATTTGTCCCCTTCAAAATTTAGGGAAAAAACTCGAAAGGAAGCACACACGAAGAGATTTATTTCAGTACAGAAATTGCAAGCTGAAACGGAAAGTGGAAAGTATATTTTGTCGCACCTTTAAAGTTCATTCCAAAGTTACGTTTTAGTCACGTTCTACAGCTATTTTTGTCCGAAATCTAAGACAGGGCTTCTGATTCTTCGCGCGGTCACGGAGCCGCGAAATTCGGTAGAAATCTTATCAAATACATGTCTGTACAACATATTTGAAACTTATTTCAGCTATAGGGGCTATTTACTTGCCGTAAACTTGCAAATCTATCTTGGAACGTGCAAACAGATTATGTTGCGAAAAACTGGGCACTAGCCATGATGTTAAAGGCTATGCCATTGGTTCATTTCTGGAGCGTATTGTTGTTGAAAAAGCAAATGATGACCTCTGTTAGAAAAACATTAAAAAGGCTGGTCTGATCAGCGCAAAACCGATTGATTTCTAGCGAAATTTGCCTTGAAAATAACCACAAAATCGGCCGTTTTTTTACTGATTGCTTTTTGGTGAAGTTTGCCCCGAAAACTCCCGCGAGATCAGCCGATTTTTCGCGAATTTGTCCCTAAAAATCGCGCGAAATTTGACTTTTTTTTCCGAGACCTATCAGAAGTCCTGCTAAGAAGACAAACCCCTTTGGATCAGCAGAAGGGTGTACAAATTTCTGTCCCCCTAAAAATGAAAATGTCCCCCAAAATTTTAGCCAAGGGGACAAATTGTCCCCCAGTGATCAAATCCTAGCTCAAACCCTGGTGATAATAATTGAACCTTATTTTAATTTAAATACAGCGTACCCCAAGCTGAGAAATAAGCATAAACAATTATTAGAAAATTTAATAAACAATCGTGAGCTTTTGTCTTGTTGTTTTGCATGGTTACGCGATCCGGCTGGTCTAATATATCGCTCTGACACTTTTTTACCGGGTTTGATTTTAGCTCATGTTAAGTGTTACTTCTTTTAAAATTTAAAACCATTTTTATAGTATTCTACACACAACCCTAAAAATAAGTTTGGAAATTATTAGAGTGGCCAACAGTTAATTGTTTCTCTATACATTTTGGTTGAAGTCAATATACAATTATGTTTCCGAATCTATTATCATCAAAGTGCAAAATAAGGATTGAGAATGCCATCAACGTAATGATGGCACCTGCCTTTCACGTTTGCTTATTCGTTAATACTATAACCTTAAAACCCACAAATCAGAATGGATATTGCTTCACGGAGAAAAATCCGGAACCGAACCGACAGTTATGAAGCCTTTAGCATAATATTTCTGTTCAGCTCGAATTAATTGATTTTAAAAGTACTTGACATTCCTCTGTGTCTAAAAGCGAAATTCCTCTGGTTAAAACTAATATTTCGAAAAACATACTTAGAGAATAATATGCTAAACTATTCAGACGTAGATCGAGTTACCTTTTCTCGAAGGGGCCTTGTCTGCCGTTGCATTGTAGACTTTGTATTGAGGATGATATCTTTTCTTATATGCTCCAAAGTCCTTTCTAGATCCTGTTTTCCTCTCAAAAGGGATTTAATCTCTTCATTTGTGTCCAAAAAACTTTCTCGAAGTTTTACCAAAACGGCCCTTGTGGCTCGAACATAGGCATGAATCCTTGCATTACTCTGTTGAATACTTGTATCTCTTAGCGATGGCAGCGGGTCGAGTTGTTGTCCAAGATCGCAAGCTTTGTCACTACGGTTCACAACTGTGTGGGAAAGCCTGATGTTTCTTATACTTGCATTCTTCCAGGCGTCGGAGCCTATGGTAGCTCGAGTACCGGTTACTTCCATTTCTTGAACAAGACCTTCGTCCGAGTCAAGAAGGCGGCTCAACTTTATGTTGTGCAAAGCGTGGAGGGAAACTGTGCTGGTTACCATAGCAACTAATTAGCCTCGTTTTCGCATTAGAAATTTACAAGATACATGTTCGTGACAGGTGGCAAAGTCACAAAACAAGCGGAAAGTACTGTAAAAAAAGTTATCATAAAAGAAGCAAAAGCAATGGAAAAGGAGAGCATATAATAGAGCAACTATCCGGAATACAAATGACAAAGAGAAAAATTATGAGATCAGTTGCGTGACCCGACTTCAAGACTGTCGTGACAGAACACCGTGTGACTTGAGAACTGTGTTACTGTTAACCTAATCACTGATCATGAGGCCGCTTTTTTTTTCCCCTCAGGTACATACCTCATTAACACACTTTCCTTCGATTCCCTACAACTTCAGCTTTTAATTTTTCTTTTCTTTTTTCTTTTCTTTTTTT